TGAAAAGCAGTTTAAGAACATCGAGCAGATACAATTTCATATGCTAAGTAGTGGTTTCATGAAAAATATAAGGTTTGGAATAAGCTTGGCGAGTAGAGTGAGAACTTACCGGAGGAAGTCTCACGTGATGTAGTGCGGGCACCGTTGCGGGAGACCATACATGAAACCGAGTGTCATACCTGTGATCAGGAAACATTGAATGAAACCGTGAAAGAAACCATCAATGAACAGGTCATGACACTTTAGTGGATAATGATGTGGTGGATGCTCTGTACAAGATGATATGTGATGAGGAGCCAGAGTTCCTTGATGCAAGAAATTTGAAGTTGGAGCAAATGACAAAGGATGCAAGAGCACCGTTGTACTCTGGTTCAACTGTAACCAAGTTGAAAGCTGACCTTTTGCTACTTGAGTTCAAATCAAGGAATGGTCTCTCCGACAAAGGATTTGATGATTTGCTAACTCATTTGGGAAAGATCCTTCCATGACCAAATGAGTTGCCCAAGAACACATATTAGGCGAAGCAAATGATCTGTCCAATAGGGCTGGAAGTACAAAAAATTCACACGTGCATCAATGATTCATATTGTACCACGACAAATATGCAGAGTTGGATGCGTGTCCGGTGTGAATCTATTAAGGTGATGATAGGTGACAGGAACAAAAGACCCCCCGAGAAGGTTGTGCGGTATTTCCTTCTGCAATTCCATTCTTAAAGAGGTTATTTGCGAATGAAAAGACAACAAAGCTAATGAGATGGCATGCCAAACAGCACTTGAATGATGGAATGCTCATACACCCAACCGATGCATCATAGTGGAGGGCTATTAATTTTAGATACAAGAAGTCGTTTTCAAGGGAAATAAGGAACATAAGGTTTGGGTTGAGTACGGAGGGGATCAATCCTTTCAACATGGTTAGCAGGAAACACAACACCTGGCCCATGACTTTGTGCATATACAACCTTCCACCTTGGTTGTCTATGAAACGAACATACATTATGGTGTCATTGCTGATTCAAGGGCCAAAGCAACCTGGCAATGATATTGATTTGTACCTAGAACTGTTGGTAGACGATCTAATAGAACTGTGGCAAAAGTTGTCAAGGTGTGCGACGAGTACAAGCAAGAACACTTCACTCTTAAAGTGTTGCTATTCGTAACAATCACTAACCCATCAGGCCTCGGTTGCTTGTCGGGACAAGTTATGAAAGAATACAATGGTTGTGTGGTTTGCTTGGAGGACACTGATGCTAAATGGCTGAGCGACAGTAGCAAGATAGTGTATATGGGTCATTGTCGGTTCCTACCCATCACTACTACAATAGTCTTATTGCAGGCGGGCATCACAACCGCATCGGCCAAAAGGACGTGGTTAATTGCTTTTTTACCCAAGCGGTCCTATGCCAACCTCGAAAAATCAAATTAAAAATAAAAAAAGCAAAGCCCGCCGGCGAGCCCATTTCAGAGCCCACCAGGCAGCCCACCTGCTACGCGTAGGCCCCACCACTGCCGCCGGATCCATCTCCTCTGCGCGCCACCATAGCCGGGAGAGGCCTCCACACATGCCCCGTAGGTGGATCCAGCTCCCCTGCGTAGCGCCGTCGCCAGGGAGACCTCCCCGTGGGCGCCGCAACCGAATCTAGCTCCTCCACGTGCCCCGCCGGCAGATCCACACCTTTAGCTCCTGGATCAGTCGCCGCCACCGCGGGGGGAGACCTCCCCGTGGGCGCCACCACTGGATCCATCTCCTCCACGTGCCCCGCTGGCAGATCCACACCTTCAGCTCGTCAATCCACCGTCACCGCCGCTGAGGGAGACCTCCCCGTGGGCGCCGCCACTGGATCCAGCTCTTCCGCGTGCGTCCCACCGACAGATCCGCTCCTAGATCCACCGATGCCACTGCACCTTCACCATGGATCCATCGCCGCCACGTTCGGCACCTCACACCTCTGGTGACTGAGAGGGAGGCGCCCCGGCACCTCGCATCCTACGCGTGCAGTTGAGAGGGAGGCGCGCCACGGGGAGAGGGGTGCCGCGCCGGAAGGAGAGAGGGGCGCCACGTAGGGGAGAGAGCTGAGAGAGAGAGAGAGGGAGAGAGAGCGCAGGGAAGTGAAACCCTAAGTTCTTTATTTATATGAGCCCGGTACAAGCCTGATTTAGGCTTTTGGCTGGGCCTTGGCCACCATTAATAGAGGCGGGTTTTATAAGAGGTCCGCCTCCGAAAATGGAGGCCATTTTCAGAGGCGAACCACTTATGAGGCCCGTCTCCTTAAATCAATTTTAGGAGGCAGGCATTTCCTAAACGTCTCCGTAAATAAAACGATCGCCTCCGTTAATCGATTTTGCGAGGTGGTCCTTTTTTAGTGACTTGGTAAATAAAACGACCGCCTCCTTTAATTGTCGGGCATTTTACGAGTCCGTTGGATTTTGTGACCGCCTCGGTTAATAAAAAGGCACCACCTTGTAAAATCATTTTTGTAGCAGTGCATGGGACATCCATACCGTAGGAATAAAAAAATCCTTTGATGGCACAGTTGATAATCGCCCAGCTCCTCGGCTTCTAAATGGGAGGAAGATCTTTAAAATAGTGAACAAACTTACAGCCTGTTAGGTTGGCTGGTTTGTATCGTTGCTGGTTCGTTTATGTGAGAGAGAAGTACTGAATAGTGTCCACGTGAGGGGGCTGGCCAGCCAGCCCCAGCCGAACAAGCTGTTAGAGTCGTCCTTGGAAAGGGCGAAGGAAGCGTACAGGCACCGAAAGGCTCTTCGTGGACAAACACGGTATTTTGGAAACTGTCCGCACAATTGATGGGATGCACATAACTAAAAACATTATTGAAAGCACTTTCAACACCTTAATGGCCGCAAAAGGGCAAAGAGAGATTCGCTTCAAACTCATGTGGACCTAAAGAAGATATAAATATCAGGCTGGAGCTACATCCTATAATTCAACCTAATGGGATAAAGAAACTTCTAGTAGCCTCCTGGACCTTGGGTACAAAGGAGAAAGAGAAGCTCTTAAGTTTCTTCCATGAACTCCAAGTACCTGCTGGTTACTACTCAAACATCAGGAGGCTAGCCAACATGAATGAAAGATTTAAAATTCAACGTGAGCTGCATGAAGATGCACGATTGCCATGCTAACATGACACAACTCTTGCCAATTGCAATTAAGGGTGGTCTTCTCGGGGGCGCAGACTCTCCCTTGAAGGTAAATTTGAGAGCTATATAAATAAAGAGGTCTGTATTGTTTAATAAGGCTTGGTGGAAAGACAAAAGAAATGGGGGCTTAAGTGTTTCTACTCCTATTTTAAAGCGAAATGATGATTTTATCCTTATTTTTTTAATTTTGTGATTTTGCCCCTACAATTTTAAAACGAAGAGAGGGTTTGCCCCTGTCTGTTAACTCCACCTAACGGTGTTAACTTTTGGACCAAAAGACAAGTTTGCCCATGTGATTTTACCCTTGCTTTATTTTGCTCTTTGTGTGTTTACCCCTATTTCTTATTTTGATACAAATTGGACAATTGAATCAGTATAAACATTTTTTAGAAAAAAAAAATCCTGCGTAACCGTGAGGAAGCACAGAGGGAAGAGCACACTAGTAGTGTGGGCCCTGCTTCATTACCTCGTTGCGGACCTTGAATGGATCATGGTATTTTATATATCACTCGCCCATGAGTCTGGTAAAAAGTTAACTATTCCATGGATCAGGACTCTCTCCCTGCAGGCCTGCACAAACTCGGTCCTCACCGGTCTCTACTGCCTGCTTGCCTGAGCTGCTCGGCTCCTCCTCGGCTGTCAGCTGGCCGCCGACTTGAAGCTACTGCGGCCTGCAGTGAAAGGTCCGCGTCGAACGTCGCCATCGGTTTGCTCGTCTGTACGCCTCTGTGGACGCCATCGTCGGCTCAGAAGGCAGCAATGGCGCGAGGAATCTCCATCGAGCTCCTCCGCCGGTGCTGTGTATCTCCATCTCCCCTTATGTCCGCCGGGGGGGCGCCTGCGCGCGTCCCGCCAGTGGCCGCGGCGCGCCTCCCGCGCGCGTCGGCCTTGAGCCGTCGGAGAAAATGAAACCCTACTCCTGCGTTTGAGCGAACAGGAGAAGAACAAGAAGGTGAGAAAGCTAAGGTAGAAGATAAGGGGGTATTCTTGTCTTTTCGCGTGGGCATCTTTTGTTTTCTTTTTTCTTTTGCCATTTAATCAGCTCACACTTAACGGTGTCATAAAACAGGGGTAAATAGACGTTTTGCTTCAAAATCACAGAGATAAAATCATAAAGTTTAAAAAGTAAAGGTAAAATCACTATTGCAGTTCGAAATAGGGGTAGAAACACCAAATTCCCAGAGAAATACGACACAAAACTGTGCTGCCTTTTCCTCACACCCATACTCCGATTCTTGCCTAAAGGGACATAGAACAATGCTTAAAATTATTTTTCTTCAATTTCATTTCTCCGTTAATGTGTTCATAATTTCATCGTACTCATTTTGTACTAATGCAAGGACAGTTCAGAAACTTCAGTGCTTCACATCTTTGCTTTTCAAGACTTCTTAAGTAAGGTCGTAATTTTGGGCTGGAAGCACAAAGCCCTGAATACCAATAGAAAGTGGCTGCAAGCACAAAGCCTGAATACCAATAGAAAGTAGGAATTCTTACCATGGCAAACACTACTATTAGCACTTGCAAATGACCAAATTTGTGTCAGTCTGCACAGGTTACTTGCTTTGCACGTACACATGGATGATTTTAGCCCTGTGAGTGTAACTTTCTCGTGATAGAGAAAAAAAGTGTAACTTTCTGAAATTCCGTTGTGCAGACTTTTGGGAGGTAAGGAATAACCAAGCAAAATGATACGTACTAGACAGGAGTCGCAACAATATATCAGTGTTTTACACAACAGTAATAATAAGATATTAAACAGTAGATAGACACGGTGCAAACAACGGTCACCTAAGGCTCAGAAAACAAATGAAATCACAAAAAAAATGTATCACAGATTCACAGCCCAGCGTCGCGGCACCGCCCGACGAAGTCCGCCAAGCTCCGGTAGCTCGTGCCGCCCTTGGCTGTGGCCGCCGCCGCGGCGTCGCCGACATTGGCTGCCTTTTCCGCCACCACATCGTAGCCCATCACGGCATTGATCTTCTCAGCCACTTCCTCTCCGCTCACCAAGCCTTTCTCCCCATCCCAGGTCCACCGCTCCTCCCACACGCCCAGCCCGCCGCGCGCCACCACGGCGGCATTGACGCGCTGGTCGCCGAACCTCGGCCACGCCAGCACCGGCACACCGAACGACGCGGCCTCCGTCACGGAGTTCCACCCGCAGTGACTGATGAAAAGGCCGACGGAGCCGTGCTGCAGGATCTCCTCCTGCTCCACCCACCCCTTGGTCACGAACGCGCGCCCCTGCACTCGATCCAGGAACCCGTCCCCAAGCAGGTCGCCGAGGTCGGCGGCGTCGTCCCGGTCCACGACGGTGCTCTTCACCATCCACAGGAACCGCTGGCCGCTGGCCTCGAGCCCGGCAGCGAGCTCCCGAAGCTGGTCCGTCGATATGGCCTTGCGGCTGCCGAAGCTGACGTACACCACGGACCGCGCCGGCTGCGCGCTGAGCCACCTCATGCAATGGGCGGCATCATTCGCCGCCTGAAATCTCACCGGTTGCAGCGGCCCCACGGCGAACACAGGCGGGAAGTCGGAGACGACCGAGCCTTGACGCAGGGCCGTAATGGCGTCCGGCTCAAAGGCGTCGAACGTGTTGACCAGGATGCCGTCAGAGGCGACGAGGCTGCGGCCGTTGGCCACGAACTGCTGGGTGAAGAGATGCTTGGGGTCGTGCAGCGCCTGTGGGACGGAGGATTTCGGGATCCGATACAGGCCGGGGATGTCGACGTCGCCGACGCCCACGCAGCCGGCGGCAGCATTGGCGTCGAGGTGGGCGGGAAAATAGGCGCATAAGGAGAGCATCGCGGCGGAGGACGTGAAGAGGACGTAGCACGGGACGCCCCGCGCCTTGGCGACGGGCAAAACGACGGACGCCAGGACGATGTCCGTGACGAGCGCGGACGCCTGGGCGGCGTCGAGGAGCGGGCCGAGCAGCGGCGCGGACCGTCGCGTGGCCTCGAAGCGGAGGAAGAAGGGGTCGGCGCCGGGGAACTCGGACTCGTCGAACGGCGCCAGGCGGAAGTCGAGCCGGCGGACGGCCGGGGCCGCGGCGAAGAGCGTGTCCAGGTGCATGGACTCCGCTGACGACACGGTGGGCAGCACCGCGGCCACGGACACGTCGCAGCCGTGCCCCTCCGACAGCGCCACCGCGAGGCGGCCGAACGGGACCAGGTGGCCCATGCCGGCGCTCGGGAGCAGGACAACGTGCGGGCTAGCGCTGGTGTGGTCACCGGAGGCCGGCATCGCCGATGGGGCCATGCTCCCAGTCTAACAACTGCGACCTGCTTCCGGCGTGAGAGAGGGACAGTGGTACCTACGCGGAGCCCACTAATAAATAGAGACTTTTCCCTGTGTGCCATTATAAAAGATCGTAATTCTTTGTGTGCCCCTAGAAAAATTCAGCTGTCTTCAACGCCACTACTCTAACTTTTTCGGGTCCTCCATGCCACTTCCGTCAGTTCAGGCTTTAACGCCGTCAAACCGCAGGTGTGAAAAGACGAAAATGCCCTTAAGTTCAAATATGTTATTAATTTTTTTTGAGCATCTTAACGACTTCAAATGAAAAAACTCAAAACTAGAAAGTTGTAGATCTCGTCGAGATCTATAATTTTCATATAAAAATTATTTTCATTTAATTCCGCAAAAAAAATGATTTGATATGATTAATATATCTTAGAAAAATCATCATATTTTTTTTGCGAAATTAAATGAAAATAGATTTTATATGAAAATTATAGATCTCGACGAGATCTATAACTTTCTAGTTTTGAGTTTTTTCATTTGAAGTCGTTAAGATGCTCAAAAAAAATTAATAACATATTTGAACTTAAGGGCATTTTCGTCTTTTCACACCTGCGGTTTGACGGCGTTAAAGCCTGAACTGACGGAAGTGGCATGGAGGACCCGAAAAAGTTAGAGTAGTGGCGCTGAAGACCGCTGAATTTTTCCAGGGGCACACAAGGGATTACGATCTTTTATAATGGCACACGGGGAAAAGTCTCTAATAAATAACGTGGGACGCTACCGAATCTGCACCGCACGATGCAACAACCTACACGCGGCCGCGCCGGTGTGGATGCCGGAGGTTGGCATCGACGGTGGGGCCGCGGTCCCTGCCACCGGCTTCGAGCGCGACAGTGGTAGCTGCCCCAGCACGGGTGGGCGCGGGCGCTACCAAAATCTGCACCGCACGATGCAACAACTACGGCAGGCGCCGCGCTGTCGCTCTGCCGACCGTTGATCATTTTTCCTGGCGTTGGGCAATCGTGTCGTGTGTCGTCCACATGGCTCGCCAGAACAACTTCTCTCGACCACGTTCTAAATCAAATCTGGCTTTCTCACTCATCAGAATTCAGAGAGCGTGTACTCCCTCCGTCCAAAGAAAGAAAGTCGCTATGGATACGTGTAGGTTAAGCTTTTTGAACTTGATTAGGTTTATAGAAAATACGTGCAACATTTATATTTTCAAATAAGTTTTTTATAAAAGTATATTCAACGATCTATCTAATGATATTAATTATGTATTATAAATATTAATATTTTTTTAATATATAATTCATCAAAGTTAAAAAAAATAATTTCTCGATAAGCGACAACGACTTTTATTTTAGAGCGCACCATGCCCTGCAAGAAACGAAACAAGAGTACACGATGCACAAATGCGCCTGCTGGCTATTATTGCACACACCATCATGACAATCAACACATAGCGTGCCGGCGCTAGGCGGAGGACAACGACGTGAGGCCGGCCGGCCGGGCGGGCGGGCGGGCGATCGCCGGAGGGGAGAGGGCGGCACTGCAGGCTGTGAGGCTGTCGTAGCCGAACGTACACTAGCTTGCAACATGTATTCGTATTTCGTCAGATACTGTCGCCTGTATAGGAAGGGGAAGGAGTATACAAGAAAGGAAACAAGAGTGCACGACAAATTAAACGGGCCTGTGCTGATTATTATTGCACGCCATGCCAAGCAGCACAGAGCGTGCCGGCGATAGAGCGGAGGACTACGTGAGGCCGGCCGGCCGGGCGATCGCCGGAGGGGAGGACGACGGCCCTGCAGGCTGTCGTAGACGAACCTACAGTACTTTGCTGCTTGGGGGCTAGCTAGGTATGCTGGCGTTGTAGCTGTGCTTGCAGTTTGGCTCGTGATTGGGGGGGCAGCTGCAGCTAACAAAAGGTGGGACGCGATCGATGTCCACCGCAGGATTCAACAACCACGCAAGTCTCAACTCTCAACCAATAGTTTCACAAAACAAAAACTCTCAACCTATAATAATCGTTTCACGTTTATCACGTGCTTTCGGAAGATGATGTTGTGGGGTAGAATATACTCAGAGCCAATCTAAAGATAAGATGGATTGCATATAGTATAACTTCACTGCTGTTTGATTGTTTGCTCCTCCGCTTGTAGGGATGCTACTGAAATTCAGAGTTTCAGATGCCGGCCGGATTTTAAACACCAAAAGAACAACACTGTCCCTGCCTGATGGAGAAGAAAAGATCGCTTAGAGAAACGAGCAGAAGCATCAAGCATATATTTCAACACAGCAGTTTTGCCGTGACATAGTACACACCAACACTTGTGATGATCCCTGACAAAGGAAACACATTGATTTACAGATAAGATGTATGTTGCTCATTACACACAAGGAGAAAAGTTACGTATGTGGCTATAAGTCAACGTTGTCCTAGCCACATACGGTAGCAATCGATCATCGTTGTCCTAGACATGTAGTAAGTACATGTCAGCAAGTAGTAGTTACGAATAGTAGTTACGTAGATATATAAAAAAGAGAGACAATGTTTCATTTTGCTCAGCGTGTTTGATGACGATGGGCAAGCTGTCCAGCAACAAGCAACGCTTAAACATGCAACTTGCCAATAAGGTGTAGCGTTGACATCTCTAAACTTGCAGCTTTGTTCTCCGCACCGGAAAAAGTGGAGGAATAGTATTTTACACATTGGGGATAAGTTTTAAACTTAAGCTCCGCATGTCAACTCAAGCCTTCGATGTTACTTCTTACTATCATTGCTGATCCTCACTGAAACACGTTGGGAAAAAAAAGGAAAAATTAGCCGCCACTGCCATCTATTCGAATAGTAGTTATGTAGTAAGTACATGTCAGCAAGTAGTAGCCACATACGGTAGCCACATACGGATGTCTTAGTTCTTTAACCGCATCACCTAGAAGGTCATCGACGAAGCTGAGCTATCAACCCTGAAAGCCTTCATCGCAAAGACTCTTTGCTAGCTCAAGATGTGCTTCCACTATCTTACATGCTAGATCTGATACAGGAACTGGGCCCTATGTACCTAGACGTACAAGCGGTTCATGTCGACCCTCAACATATACATCCTTAGCCGTGCTCACCCGAAAGGCTCTATCATCGAGGCATACAGAACCGAGTAGGCCATGAACTGCTACACCAAAAACATCCGAGATGGAAGGGTGATTGGGCTCCCCGTCCCTCAGCATGAAGGCAGAACCTCAGGAATGGGATGCACAGGGAGGAAAATATGCACCGATATAGAGTTCAGAATGGTTAAACAAGCTCATAATAGCGTCCTTCGTCAGTTAGTGGTCATGGAACCCTACACTGAGAAGCACCTAGAGGAGATCCGCACCGCTCATGGAGCTTGCACGGAGGTATAGGTCCATTATCAACACAAGATCAGTTTCACGGCATGGCTCAAGGAGCAGGCCATACCCCATGGAGAATCAGATGATGATGAGACTGCTATGAGGTTTGTGTTCAGCCTATCCATCCAAATCACCTCGTGGCAAGGGTATGACATCAATGGATACAGGTTCCACACAAAAGAGAAGGACAAGAAGAGCGCGACACAGAACAGTGGTGCTCGATATGAGGGCATCGACGAGTCAATGGGGCAGTGCAGGACATACTTTGGGTAGGTTAAAGAGATATGGGAACTTGATTATAGCGGTGACCTATAGATACCCATCTTCTAGTGCCACTGGGTCAAGCAGAAGGGGGGTTCTCGTGGTCGAGTTTGGGCTAAACACCGTAGAGCTAGCTCGACAGTGTTTGCTACAAAGATGATCAATGGGAAATAGCAAGCCGCGTGGTGCAAGTAGCCTACTATGTCATGCCCAGGAATGACAAGAGGCACATGGTTGTCTCCGAAAAGCAGAGGATCGTGGGAGCTGATCCCCAAAGAATACAACAACTATGATGTGCTCGGGCTCTTTATCGATCATCCATAGAAGATCAAGGCCGTAGAAGCCCGCTTCAATCGGACCAAGGTGATGTGCCCTAGGCCCGCAACGACCATGAGCGAAAGACCATGGGAGTGCCTGCAGTAAAATGATATATATGCCACACATATATATATGCAATAACGTAGTGACAATTAACGAAAAGTTTTGTAAGTTATTATGTATGCATCGTTTGTGTTAAGTGCTTCATTTTTTAAAAGTATGTGATTTATATTGAAATAAATGAAACAAGTATTTAATTAACAAGTTAAAATTAGCATTTAGAGAATAAAAAGATTTAAAAAATAAACAATAAGCATTTAACAAGTATTAATAAATAACAACCATTTAAAAAGCATTTTAAAAGATTTGAAACACATTTAACAAGTATTAATTTACACATTTGAAAATAAACAAATATTTAATTAAATTGTTTAGGTGGGCATCTAATGTTGCCCGCCTCCGTTAATATTAACGCAGAACATTTTATGGAGGCGAGCTGCATAAGGACCCACCTCTATTAACCTTTCACTATAAATACGCGCTCTTCGCCTCCGAATTTTCTAGGTCCTCCGGTCGTGCTCTTCTTACCCCGAGGGGCCGCCGGATTTTTTCGCCGCCGCCGTCTGTCACCGCCATCACCAATGCTGAGCTCTGCCCTTGCCCACTCCCCCGCTCCAAGCTCTCCCCAGCCCTCCTCTTCGTCCTCCACACCGAGGAGCTCCGTCAGGGCCCTAGGGAACCCTAGCCATCTCCTCATCATTGATATCCGCCGTGCCGAGCTCTCCTCTTCATCCTCCGCACCAAGCTCTGTGTGCCTCTTTGTCCTATGCGCCGAGGAGCTCCACCGAGGGCCGCAACGAACCCTAGCTCTACCACGCCGAGCTCCATGCTGGCCCCTCCTCATCATCGAGGTCCACTGTGCCGAGCTCCGATCCGTGTGGGCCCTCTCCACTTTGTCCTCTGCACCGAGCTCCGTGCGGGCCCTCTCATCTTCGTCATTCGAGTTGCTTCAACTTGTTGAACAT